GGCAAGGAAAGGAGGAGGTGGCACCTTTGGAATCTGGGGTAGGAGGCTGGAGGGCTACACATACAAGAGAACTACCTCCAAACAAAGATCTGGTGCAATGGTACAGGAAGAAGTGGGGTGAATGCGAGGCAGACCCACAAAGGAGAAAAGAAATATCCACTGCAGTAGATTCTATTACAACTATCCTCATTCTAGAGATGAGAAACTGAGGCTCAAATAGTTATGGGAAAGTCATACAACTAGTGAGAATTGTGATTTCAGAACCTGTGACACCATCGTGTTTCTCCAAGATTTTTTTGCTCCCCCCTTCCCCAGCCTTCCAGAAAACATGCATTAGCGAATCCTGTGGAGGGAGACAGGGAAATAATTTGGCTAAATCTGGCACATATTGGACACAATAAAAATTGGGTGAATGGATGGAAAAAAGGGATTGGAAAGCAGAGGAGAAGACGTTTGGATATCTGTTATGAGGGTCTCTGCTCGGATGGGTGGGCTTGATGGCTCGGCAGACATGAGTGATCCAACCTCCCTAATCCTTACTTTCAAATCACCTAGTTTACGCTTCACCAACGACCGAGAACTTTTTAGACGATCCCTTAGCCGCGCTCCAGGGCCGAGAACTGCATTGTCACTTGTGACCAGCTCCCTGGGCCCGAGTCTGAAGGGCGCAGGCCCAGGCGAGGCAGCGACTGGCGGCGGCTGACCCTGAGGGGCGGGGGCAGCGTGGAGGAGGCGGAGGTGGGCCGTCAGCTCTGCTCCAGCTGTGTTGCAATGTCCCGCCAGGTGAAGGATGACTTCTTGCGGCACTACACAGTCTCCGACCCCCGGACCCACCCCAAGGGCTATACCGAGTACAAAGTGACCGCGCAGGTGAAGTGGGGCCCAACGGGGACCTTACCCTTTTAACAAGAGGGAGGCTGTTTTACCTTAAGGCAAGGCGCCCTGGCACCTCCCTTTTTTGGGCGACAGAAATGGCTTTCCCCTTTAAGGGGAGGCTGTGGTGCGAGCGTTCGTTTACACCTTTAGCCGTCAGGAGGCGGGGTTATGCGATGGCGCTCTCTTCTTAAAAGGGCTTGAATCGCAATTCTTGGACCGGCGAGTTGGGGTGCTCACGACCAACGTCTGGTGTCTGGGCATCAGGCTCTGAATTTCTTTAACAAGAAAACTTTAGCGCACCCNGCTGACTGAGCCTCTCCAGATGCGCCCATCTCACAGTCCACCCCCACCCAGGCCCTCACCAAACGCCACCCATGGGGGAATGGGAATCAGCCAGCCCAACTAACACTCCCCGTCCCCCTCCATAACCTGCTGCTGCTGCTGCTGCTGCTGCCCACTACTGCTCCATGGCCAGCTGGCTCCCGTGGCGGGAGGACTGCTGCCCTGGCTGTCACCCTGGCTCCTGACCCGGCCTACCTACAGCTGCCGTACCAAGAGGCAAGGGCTTGGGCTGGGATGGGGCTGCCTCTGCTGCTATCCAGGCTGTGGGCCTCGTCCTTTGCTCAGCTGTGACAATAAACTTCCTTGCCCTGCAGGATTCCTGGCTGTCATTTGTTGATTGAATAGCTTTAGAGACCCCCTAGAGCCCATAGTCCAGTAGGGGACAAAAAGGGACAGATAATTTCAGTCAGAGGGTTAACTGCTGCCGTGTCAAAGGGATGTGCAAGTAATTCCATTTGGAAGAGTCTAGGCAGGCTTCCCAGAGGAGGTGACATTAAACCTGGGAATAAAGGATGAGTAGAAGTTTCCTGGATAGAAGGGGTAGGAAAGTTTATCAGAGTGACTGCTACCCTCAAAGGCATGAATTAGAAAAAGGGACGCACCCCAATATCAGGGCTCACAGCTTCTTGAGTGGAACATGGGCTGAATTTCCGCTTCCAGTTTCGTGTTGTAGCCAGGAACCCACATGTAGTGGACAACCTGCACAGCTGTACAAGGCAGCATTGGGTCAAGCAGAGGAAGGAAGAGCAAGGGCTCTTGAGAAATGGGGAGGGGTGAGGACTCAGGCGTAGGAGATGTAGGCGTCAAGCAGGGCTAGCTGAGAGCAGAGCTGGGAAGGGGCCTTCCCTGAAGGCTATAGGGCACTCCAGAGCAGGGGCCAGGCTGGAAAAGGATGAGAACCAGGGCTGCCCACCCCAGGATGGCAGGACAGATAGGTATTTTCACAGGGTCCCCTGCTGTTGTCCCAACTTACTCTGCAGAGTTCTGTTCAAAGTACTCACTGCTCAGTCACATTTAAGAACAACCCTAAACAGTACAGACTCTTAGTAGCCCCATTTATATGGGAACTGAGCCTCTAGGAGGTAATGTGACTTGCTCAAAGCCACCCAGCTAGGGAGTGGGGGAGCCAGGATTTGGACCCAGAACACTTAGCCACTACGCCCTACTAAGTGCTTTCACTTTTTGTCTCTGCTCAAAATTCAGATGCCAGGGAGAGGGGGCCTAATGTGTCTAATGAGGGAAAGCTAGTGTTCCCAAGGAAAAGGTGAGAAAGAGACAACAGAATTTACCCCTAAACTGGCACTAGGATCTCTCCTTGGAGGGGTAGAGACCTGTGCAAAACCTGGGCTCCGCTAGGGTGGAAGAAGGGAAACAGGTGGGGGGACAACCTTAGGATGTCAACTGTCCTTCAGTGTGGAAAATTAGAACCGCCCACCCTGTCCTCTGCAAGATAGACACCGTGGTCCCCAGGCTCCCAAACCCTGTGCTGAGTGAACACACCCAGGCTCCAGAGCCAACCCCAGCTCTGCCACTCACTGGGTGATGCTGAGCAAGTTGCCCAACCTGTCTGTGCCTCAGTTCCCCCATCTGCAGAAAGATAATGACACCTACCTCCTTGGGTTGGGACAAAGACCAAACGGGCGGGTGTCTTGTGTGCCTTAAGCACTGTATAATGTTAGTTGTAATTATCATTATATGAACCAGTAGGAGCTCAAGCAGATCCAAACAATGTGAACTCAGCCTTCCTGCCCCTGGTGAGTCACCCCAGTGTTCAGGTCCTCTTGGGGGCCCTTAGGAAGCAGCATCCTTGATTTTTAAATGTCAATTGCATGGTTAGAGACAAGGAAATAACAAGGTTATTATACTCATCACAAAGGCCTATGAATAGGGAGTTTGAGCTGTGGCAGAAAGTCTGCATCACATGGTCAAAAAGACCCAGTGCAAATGTGGGGAGCAGGCCCCCTGCAGCTGTGCGTTTGCAACTTTCCCTTCTCTCCTGACTTCTATAATACAAAGCTCTTCTGTTTGCTTCTCCTAGTGATGGAATTGGTGGAGTTGGCGGTCTGGAGAAGGCCAGAGGCTAAACTGACCTACGTAGGAAAGGGCTTGGAGGGGACCAGAGGAAAGA